TTTTGAAATCATTTAACAGGAAAATGGAGCTGTAAATGCTTAACTGAAGTCTTTTCGGAATGAATGAAAATAATTAAATCTATGTTAAAAGCTGAAGATGTGGTCAAACGCTTACAATGTGTTTGGAATAATAAAATCATAACATTAAGCGTGATTAAGAGGCCTGACAGCAGGTTGTTTTAATAAAGGCTCATCTGGCCAGAGGCTGCTATAGTGTCTAGGGGACTGAGAGTTTGTGATTCCCCCCACTGGATTGGACACTAGTCCAGCAGAGTTACTCATGTGCAAAGAAGGTGCCCATTTATAAAGTTGGGTTAACTAGAGCACCTGGGATCAAGTACCTTGCCCAAGGTACCACAAAAGTATCAACAGAAGGGACCCAAACCCACAGTCTCACAGTTCTGAGTCCCGAGTCCTAACTGCTACTTTACACTCAAATTAAATATGTTTAAAAAAAACGAAGAACCTAACTCCTACTTCTGTCATTGTAAGGTGACCGGTTTTTCAAATGGACATAATGACTAACAGGCTAATGGTTAAATGTGGTTAAAACTAATAGCAAAACAAACAAATTGTTATTACACTGTTAAGTATATTAATGCGCTATGGTAATTTAAGTCTCTTTTTTTCATATTGATTTTAAAAAAACTGTAAAAAAAAACTTTAATAATCGAAATCAGAAGCTAGTAAAAATACTTTATACTTTATACCGTAGACATGAGTTATCAATTAAAAGTATAGAATATCAATATCAATACTTCTATCTGTTTCCATGTGTGTATTTATAATACCATGTTACTTTTTGCAACGTTTTGAGAGACTTGAATAAGCTGTGTCTTTTTTAATGTACTGGGTAAGCACGGGTGAATATGATGCACGGAATTTAATTAAATGTTTTTTAATATGTTTGGGTCTCTTCCCAAACGTGTTAGCCAAAGACCAATCAACATTCTTTGATAAAGCAAAAACTAACATTTCTGGAATTGTTAATAGGAAACTGTGAAGTTTAAACGTAAAATAGAATGGGACCAAAAAATGAAACAGCAAAGCATTTATCTGTGAATAAGCTTCCAAAACAGGGAGTTATACCCTATTCTGGTACACTGACTACTGTCAAACAGGATCAGTGCACTTGTTTAATATGGATGAATTTCTTAAAAGTGAAAGTCAAAGCACTGAATCTGATTTATTGATGCAGTGTTTAAAAATTCAATTAGCTTTCTGAGTTATCCAAAAAATGAACTCCATCAGTGTTCAGACTCTGCTTGGACAAAATATTAAGAGCTCCCCTAGTGACAGGTGAGGACTGTTTGTCACTTAGAGCATCAAACCAATTTCCATCACCTTCCTGGCCAGATCAATACCCATATTTCAATTCTAATGAAGCCCTACAGAACTAGTGGAATGTGCAATCCAATTCCACACACCATTACCCACATCCTACCCTCAGATGAAGGTGATCCAACAAGAACAAAACAGGATGGGATTATTTCAGTAACCAGGTGCAACACCCCTGTTTGCATCCTATTTACTGTTCTGACTGCTTACAGAGACCTGATGGGTTATTCAGTGGGTATTTCTAATGTTTTGGCCAGAGAAGAGAAGTGTCTTTGGACTGAGGGATATGAATAGAATGGTACTGTAGTTGGGTTTCTGCAATGGCCTGCAACATCAATGACAGCCAGCAGGCAAATTCTGGATTTTTTTTACCAAGGCAGGTCTACTGTTGCTCTACTGCCTACCATTAGCAAGACAACCACACACTTACAAATTTAAGTAAAAATCAAGTAAAATGCACTTGCAAGTATGTCTGCTTAAACATATTTTTTTTCCATTGGTTAACCATAAGTCCTTTAATAACTTACCATTAGATTTCCTCTGTGATGCATATTAATTAAGCATATTCATGCATTTATTGTGTCCAATGTTTTTGCAAAGAAATTGAGAATTTCTTAAATATAATGTTACATTAAATGGAAATCTCACAAATTCCCAAATAAATGGATGAAGACATATTAAAGATGACATGCAGAGTATGAAAAAAAAAACTTACACTGTTAACGCTACATTACCTCCAGGGATACGGAACAGAGCCCATTTCCCCCTCCTCCCATCTTGGACTTTTGTCTGAGTGGTTACATAATTAAATCACAAACTGTGGAAGAAGCAGCTACTAAGGAATCAGTGAGGCAAAGGAAAACAAGCAAGGAAATGTGCTGAAGAAAGGATGAAAAGAAAATAAAGTTCAGCAGAAGCTCCTGGGTGTGAAAAACACTGGAAGAAATCAAGAGAAGAGATGGTGGCTATGCACAGATGCCCCGGTGACGTAGAAGCCTATGAATGAGTAGAGAGTGGCTTTTTTTTATCACCTACCCATCCTAATCTGGAGAGGGACAGTCCTCTGCCCTGGACATGCAAGAGACAGAGACAGGGTCATGAAGGTTCATCTCCAAGAAATAATGGTGGACATAAGTCAGCACAATGGTACACAGTTGTTCTAAGGGAGGGTTGATTCAGCACAAACAAAACAATGTACTACAAGCACACATCAAAGACATTATCTGAGAACAGCAAGGTGGCTCCAGGTCCTTCACACCTTCAAAGAAATGTTTGGAAAACATTAGGGTAGCAATAAAATAAGGATCAGGATCTCAGGATCTTACCAGTACACTCAGGTATTTTACCTTTTCAAATGAATGGGAATTGGTCATTTGGATCCACAGGTTAAATTACAATATTAATTGTAATTTTAAAAAAGGATCATTCCATATTCAATTTTGAATGCTTATGTACAGCATATATAATTTCTCTGTAATATTGTGAGTTTTGGCACGGATATTCCAGTATTTTCCAGTTTTTACTTCTCGTCTCCACAAAACTCCAGGACTGCTCGATGCCGCTGCAGCTTCAGCAGTGAAACGGCCGCCTAGGAAGATTAATTTCTGCTGAGCCGCTAGGGATTAACACATGCTAGTTCAGAAGACAGAGAGACCATGAGCTACCGCAGCAGCTGCAGCAAGAAAAATAATTGAAACGGCTGTGCTGTAAAACACATGACTTATGTTCTACCACTCCCCTTGGATAGCCTGTGTTCCATATTTCAAAACTAATATGACTGGAGAAACTCCAGCATCGCATGTTGAAATTAATCAGTGCTCTTACCTTGGGAGGAGGTGGTGGAGTCCTAGGAGACACCTTAGAAAAGAAGAAAAAAGAAATTGCTTTATGAGCAATTTTTCGGTAACCTCTGACTATTTTCTCTCACAGGATGTTGTGATGCTGTCACCTGAAACCGTACTTAAAAGCTTCATAAGCAGTTGTGATTCCGAGTTCCCTATAATTTTCTCTGTTACATAAACAAAGAAAACAGAAAGAGAAGAATTATACAATTATAGAACCCTGCTGAAAGAACAGTTAAAATAACCATAATATATTCAAACACTTGCCTCCGAGTGTCGCCATCAAAATGATAAATTGGCTCTGTTGTTAGATATTGGCATCCAAGACAACCATACAGCACAAACATGGTGTTAATTTTATATTGCAGTGTTATTGTTGCTGTCATTTATTATAATACTATGACAAGTAACAATAATAATACTAATAAAAATAGCTTACATTTCTAAAGTGCTCATTATCCAGAAGGATCCCAAACAGCTTGACACAAGGTATAGGAGAAGACTTATTATGTACCAGCAACCCCACAGCCCAGCAGATCAGGAAAAGAAGCAAGAAACTGCTTCAACTTCTGAATTGTGGGAATTGTGGGAAGGCATTTGTGCAGGATTTGGCAAGCCCAGACGATTTTAGACAGTAACAACAGCACTACACGGTTTATTAATTTAAGGAACATGATTAAATCAGCCTCATGATTTTTACCTCTCATATTTTGAGCCTTCAAATATGTTTGGTGCACAACCGTATAGTTGTCGAAGGCTTCAACTGATCTCTAAAAAAGTAAAATTGCCACCTTCCTGTTATTATCTCCAACTTCTAAAGGACTTTGAAATCCCTCAGCAAGTACTTACAATGGTTTTAAAGAAGTGCACTACAGGGTTGTCATCCCCAGGTCTGGCATGGGCCCCGGACTGCTGTGGAGGCCTCTGAGGTGAAGATCCCAAATGGCTGCTTCTCATTGAGCCCTGTGAAAGAAATCTCAACGTCGGTTTCAAAATGCTGAGAACTCGTAGTGCTCTGCACTCGGTTATGGATTCAGTGAAGCTTTATGCAGATTTGGAGTAGAAGGGAGGCAGTAAAATTCCGACTTTTTTACCAGAGATGTGAAAAGAAGAAACAGCACATGTGGTACTGGTCTTGTCATTAAGGACGTGTAAAATTCCCAACTCATCCTGGCACGATGTGACAACCATGCAGACAGGACAAATTTCACGTCCCTAATATGTGTCTGATTTACACTGAAAGACCGCTGTATGCAGTCTTAGTCAAGAAACAAATACTCATTTAAGAGTCATATGCAGAGTTACTCATCTTCATGCACTTTGTACACTAATGATGAAGCTTTGTCAGCTTACTGGCGATTCAGGATTTTATCGTTTAGTTAGTGCAAATGATGCCAATAAGTCCTTAAATAACATGTTAGTTGAGCACTGTTTTTAAACTGGAGTATTATCTCCTTCAGGGTGGCATGGTGGCACAGTGGTTAGCAGTGCTGCCTCACACCCCTGTGGCCCTAGGATCAAATCCAGACCTGAGATGCTATTTGTATGGAGTTTTTAACTTCTCCCCCTGTTTCCAGGGGTTTTCTCTGGGCTTTCTGGTTTCCTGCCACAGTCCAAAGGCATACTAAAGGTAGATCGGGCCTTGTGTGAGTGTGTGCACGTGTGTTTCTGTCAAAGTGTATCCTGTGATAAACTGGCATTTTGTCCAGGGTGTACCCTATTTTGTGTTTGCTGTGATAGGCTCTGGCTTCCATGTAACCCTGTATTAGATAAAATGTTTAGAAAATGGATGGATGGATTATCTCCCAGTTTGACAGATTATTACTAAAGTCACAAAACTGTAGTTTTTCTTAATTTCAAAGCAATAGGATGACAGATATAACCATATGGGCACAAGGAAGTAATTCCATAGGAAGACAGACCAGCAGATCTGATGGGCTTTTGCGGCCTGTCCTACTCTTCCTGATGGCAACGACTAAGCACTGAACATTCTTCCAATAATGGGGAAACTCATTCATACTGTAGCACAGAAAGACAATGTGAGAAGAACAGTGGGTAGCCTCCATATTTAATTAAACCATACCTGAAAACCTGTGACAGTGGCAATAGGAAAGACAGAAGAAGGCAAAGGTGAAAAGGTGAAAAAAGTGTTCATTAAAAATGAAGCCACAATGTTTTTTTCCTTCTCTAGCAACAGATCAGATATTGCTGGAGAGATGCTATTTAAAACCTTGTGAAAGTCCCTATCACCTCTCAGTCAGTGTCATTTTTTCTCATCCAATCTATTCTTTTAGACATCTACTTTCTGTTCGCTCTTTGCCTGGGTGTCTCCTAATGAATTTAAATGCATCCAAATGATAAGAGGAGACAGTAATTTGGACTAATATCCATGAGGCAAGTTGAAAATCAAAACGAACCTTGTTTGGTCTATGCGCTAGAATTACAGACAGGTGAAGTCATTTAACAGATCCAGTTTTACACAGTAAAAGCAACCAGATGGCAACCAGCGCCTTCAGAAATTGCTGCTGTATCACTTGTGAAGGATTCCACACTTCATCTGGTACAGCGAGGTTGAGTAATGTTCACAGAGTAAAACAGTAGGTCAATAGTGGAGATGGGAACTACTTTTAAATGTTATAGTTGTGTCAAAACACACAATGTAACTAATTGTATCTCCTTCCAAAATATAGTACATGTTGGTTAAAGCACCAATAAAGCCACCAAAACGTATGCTACTCTTTAAAAATGTATTGTAGTAATGCTGTATCCACATACAGTATTACATATACTGCACATTCATTGAACATGATTTATTAATTTTAGCTGTCAGTTGTCTATACAGATGTGATGAGCACAGGTCTTTCTTAGTTCATGGCCATGCCCAGCTTTTACACAGCTCAGCGGATAGCTACAGTACACCAAAATACTGGGTACCCAGAGCTGGGAATTGTCTAAGGAATAGTCACCTTCTGTGACACATTTAGTATTCTAACACACCTTGTTACATTTTTTAATAAGAATCTTATGTGACCTTTTCCCAAACATCAGTACATGAAAAGGCCAGGTGTTTATTGAATTAAATTAAATTCCAGTTTCTAGATAATCGCAGGCTTTAATAGATGTCTGGAAGGAAAAATATAATGGATCATCTATGGTTGATATATTTGCTAATATTCCCAAATTGGCATACTTATCAATCAGCTGTCTTCAGTTAATGTCTGGGAGCTGAGCTTCCCTTTTGTCAGGCACAGAGGAAAGTGATTCATTAAGTCCCGCATTAATGAGCACTGCATTGAGGTGCAGATTCTGAATTAATTTATAAGTCCTTGCAGAAAGAGCTACATTCTGTGAACTTTAACTGTGCATGTTTAGTAAAGAGCATGTCGAGTTTTACTTGGGACACATTATAATGATGACAATACATCAGTCTACATTTTTCATCAACATCTAATTGGGCACATACATAATACTACTTATTTAAAAAATGAACAATTGTGTTGATAAAGTATTTTTTAGTGATAACAAAATAGGTCACATTTTATTAAATCAATGAAACCCCAGCGCTGTACTTAATTTGAGCATCAGTCTATATATCACCTCACTTATATTTAATGAAAAAAATATATAAGCAACTAAACCTGCATAGAATTTGCTTAATTGGATAAGGTATTGTATTTACTTCGATTTCATTGAGTTTAAAGACATATTTTTTGCAATGCCACAGCAACTCCTTAAATTTTAAACTGCCGAGGGAAACCTCAAATCACAGGCTAGATCCATAATGTTATTGCTTTTCTTCGGGACAATGGCAGGACAAGGTTGTCTGATTAGATTTAATATTAATTTTCACACAATTGTAGAATTCTAGAATACATTTGGAGTAACCTGTATGTTATGCAGGTTATTGAAAAACTGTTCTGAGAATTACTTTATTTGAAACTGTGGAAGCAAGGGGAGTTGTTTCACAATACCTCTGCTGCTCACTCATCTCATTCCCAGAGCACAATTTGCAGGGAAACAAATTATATATGACATGCCATATCACCTATTGTACATCATCAACATGCAGGAGTTGTAAAAGCAAACTCTGCTACTCAGAAAAATAAATCAAAGGCAGAGACTATTTTCTCAAACATGCCAATAGGTTAAACTCCTTCACATCATCAGAAATTTCATTAGAAAAATAAACAGATGGAAAGGGCTATGTGCCAGTAAATGCAACAAAGTTCACCAGCCTTGAATCTGATGCCTAATCAATAGGCACTTGAGAGCAGACTCTATGAGAAACAGAAGACTCCATGGTTTCCTCTGCTTCATCTGTGAGCATGGAAATGTCTGCATTCGTCTTGGTCCATCATTTTCAAGGTTCTTTCTCACTTTATAAGTGGTTTGGAATTAAACCTTTAATACACAGATACAATTGAATTAAGGAGTTTTTTTTATTGTTATAGAATTTGTACTAAATCTTTAAGTGAAAAACTTAAGTATATTTTATATCACACATACACACACCATGTGGGCGTAAGGTTAGTATGTTGTCTCATTACTTGCAGACTGCTGCAATGCATTTACAAACCTGCATGGAATGGGATAGCAGCAACCCTGTTCTGTTGATGACAGTCCAGTTCAAGCGCAAAATCTGTATTAGAGTCTGTGAACTATTTGGGTTGAAATAATATACTTTCATGTGGAGTAGTTAAGGACAGCTCACTCTGGTTAGTATGTCCAGTGAATGATTGGGCAACGGCTATGTTGTGTACTGAAGTACATCCCTTTCCATCTTTGCAGTTCAGGTAATATACAGTATATGACCTGGGGCGCTATCACCCATACGGATACTCCTATCGTGCTCAGAGGTTCTTTTGCACTGAGCATATCAAGTCTTGTATTGTAGGATGAGACTGTTAGGGTCAGGATTCCCAATAGTGTTGAATTCCCCATGACAGGAGGCAAGCCGTTTGAAATGGTGTGCTTGTCGGCTAGCTGTGGAAGCTGAGGGATTAGGGCATTGGGAGATGCCGGATGCATAGTGAATACAATCCAAGGTACAACCACACTTCCTGAAAACATGGATTTGGACATAGCCCACTGTGGCCAACCTGGCTAAAACTTCACTACAATGCCATCAAGACAGCAAAACTCAATGTCATAGTTTGACTAGTCACTATTCCTGACGATCATTCAACACATCTGCACTGTCCCAGGAATCCGTATTACACATTTTGTGCCAGGAATGATCTGGATTTCTGATTTTGTCCAGACAAAGAGCATATGCACATAATATTTTTCTGACATTTCGAACATCCTTAAAAATGGTCCAATCAATCAATCAACCTTTTGAATTAACTTTAACTGAAAAACAAAGGTTTATTACATGGTATTATTAGTTTGATGCCAACTTTTCCGTGTGTTAGTAAAGAGGTGTCTGAAATAAGGGAAGTGAAGATGATGAAGGGGGAGCTCAGTTGTTGTTGTGGGCATAGTACTCTCACAACACTCAGTTTTTTAGAAAAGAGTGTTCAAAACATTTTTTATTAGTTAATAGGAAGCCTATGCTTGACCATTTCTTAAGCCACACAGAAGAAAGCAAATGTGGTGAATACAGCATTTGTCTAAGTGAGACTTTTTCGATCATAGAACCATTTTTTCCAGGGAGCACTGAGCCTGGTTCAGAAAAAGACATCTCCCATTCAAACCTGGAAAATGCTGAAATCTCCCATTCCAGAAGACCTCCTCGTCCAAGATACTCATGGAATTGAAAGAAATGTTACAGAAAACGTGTTTTGATGGAGTGTAACCTTTCAGGTACCAGAGGACTATTCATTACCTTCAACAACTATTGTAGCCAGAATTAAAATATTTTTTCATTATACTGATATGCCAAAGAGGCATAATATGTTACCACAAGTTACAGCTGTTACTAAGCTTGAATTAACCAAAGCTAATCCTTTTTAAACTCATGCCAACTCATGCCAAGAGCCAAGGTGTGCTAAACAATTTAAATGCAGAATGTGCACCTCAAGGATACTCATTTGTTTTTGGTGACTTCTATTTCTTTGTAAGGCAGCTTTCCAGGAGGACTTCATTACAGTGCCATCAGATTATTTCTGATAGAATGACAAAAGAAGATGGATTTTCCTTGAGGCAGGCAGACTGATGACACATGGTAATTTTTCCAAATAATTTTCTTATCAGAAAGACAAATTGTGTTCAAGATTCATCATTGCTAATTTAAATGAATCTATATTTCATAAATGGAAAATATCTTAAAAGATCGCCAGATATGCCAGAACGTCTTATTTGAAGTTATACCAACAGGAATGCAAAAGCAGTTTATACAGTAACATAGCAGTCCTTATAGTTTGCACATTTTTTTAAATTAAGAATATTAAATGAATGCCTTGAAATAATCTTTACCAGTCTAGGAAATAACAAAAGGTTACTCACAAAATATACACATGCTGTTCTGCTTTTTGGTGTGGTCAGAAGGAACCTGGCCTTCTTTGTTCTATGATGCAGTATGTTATAGCTGGGTTCTTAATCACCAACGAATTGATATCAATTCTTCTTTTTGCAGCACATATTTTACATTTGCTTTCTGGTCTTAAAAACATAGAAAGGATTGTAATTGGTACCAGCTATGTACTGAATTCTTAGTTCCAATGATCCCCTCTTTCATGTGTGTTATCCGAAATGAAACCAACTGGACCTCTGTCGAATTAAAAAAAACTCTTTACGGGAATGTTATGTCATTCCCACCTGTAACCGTTCATCATAAATTCATTACCTACTCAGTGTTTCTTAGACATAAGTGAGAAAAACCCTTGAACAATTTAAGAGACTGCATACTGATATTTACATTGATGCTGTAGGAAACAAAATACAGTAGAAGTCCATTTAAAAAAACAAAACAAGGACTAAGTCAAAACCAGAAAACCAAAAGCATCTACTGTACATAAGCAAGTACAGTAGATAAGTTAAAGGTCTCAGTTAGCACTGTTTATTAACAGCTTGGTTAAAACCAGCAGACACAGGGGTCCCACAAGACCAGGGTTTGGAATCCCATGCACTGTTCCTAAGGTTCTATCAACACAGAGTCAAAGTATCTCCCAATTTGTTTGCTCATTTAATAAAGCTCAGGAAATGAACAGAGAAAATCTGACTTGCAGTCAAAAGCCTGAGGTAGACAATTACAAGACATAGGCAGTGACTGTAGAATTCAGGATATATATACAGGATAATCATTGAATAATTTATTAGACATTATTAAAAAGAAGCATACTAAATGAATATGTTGATGAACTTTCTGATGTTTTCAATTTCAGAGAACACTGACTGTACTGTTCCTTATTATACCTGTTTAAAGCCATAATTGTTAAAAAATTCCAAGACATCTGAGTTTTTATTTCTTATATTAACGCCACTTTGCAAATATACATAAGCCTGTGCATGAAAATTCTTCTGCGCTAGAAAGATTTAAAAAAATATTGTATGTGCTAATTTTATTTTTCTCTCCTGAACTATAAGATTTTCAAAAAAAGAATAAGAGGCTGAAAAATGTTCTGGAAACATACAGTAGTTTGATAACAGAAGGAATGTATGAAATCACATTGTAAATAATCTATTAATGTGAGCACTGCCTGCAATGTTATAATGTGCCTATGTACTATATTTCTCCTGTGGCCATTTGCAGTGTCATAACCATTTACAAAATGCAGTCTTTGATATACAGTAGTTTAAAGGGGGCAGGGGTACAATCCATGCAATATATCTGCCTTAACTGGAGACGTGTTCAAGTCTGCATGTGTCTTTGTTTTAAGTGACATTGTATCTGAAGGCTTTGTAGTGGATTTGACCTTATTGACCTGATCCTTATTGTTCTGTGCTAATAAAGACATTAGACCAGCCATTGTATGTTGAATTTTTTTCTCCATTTATAAATTTCCATGAAACAACTCACTTCAGTAGCTGTCATTCCTTTTTTTTCAAAATACATGTTGTTAAATGAGTTTTGGACTAAAGGACTAAAATGTTTTGCATTTTTTCTTACAGTGAGGTCGAATATTTGGCATTAAAACATTATATGTGATGGAAGATTGAGATTACTCACACCACGTTTTTCATGTTTTTAATTAGATTTATTGTCATTAAAAACTGAAATGCTCATCATTGAACTTCAGAATCTATAACATTTTTTTATTTTTTTTAAATTGCTTTACTGATTCTCTTATTATTTTAATGTGCCAGCAGAATGCACACACTGGAATTCCAAAAACACAGACTTTTCCTTACTGCGATAAGAACATGAAAACTGCTTTAGCCATGTTTTGTTACTAAGAGCCATAATTTTAAAAAAGGTCAAATTGAATGAGCACACATTCTAAGATGTAAACAGTTTGGAACAACAAATAAGTAAGCAAAATGTGTTAGGAGTTTTTGGGAACAGTTCTTCACTCACTCATTTTTCTGTTTTCCTTTCTAATCTGGGTTTCCATTAAGTTTCATAGCTCTTGACCCAGGCTCCGTGTTTTTTTTATCATTAAAAGTATTTGTGACTTACTGCTTCTTTCTCGTTCAGTCTGTATTCAGGTCGATGCTTCATTCTGTTCCACATCCCGGACTGAGTCAGCTGTTGTTAGTCTACTGGTGATTTGCAGGAGTAACTGCAACTTCTCCTCAGCCCACCTCAAGGACACATACTCTGACACTGTCTTGAGAAGGGTGAAGGCGTCCAAGCCACTACTGACAGGCTCAGGTCTGTTTGACAGAGTGGCAGATCCCTGTTGCTATGGGAGGGAATGTCACCTGCTGAAGATGAGTAGGGGGTGGGCTTTCTTGAAATGGTCAGTAAAGGGTTTACAGAGCCAGGTCTCTCATCTGTGTCAATGAGCGGATGTTGCCATGTTCTAAAACGCAGCAATACAGTTGGCATTTGACATTAAGCTCAGTGAGGTCACAGGAAAGAGGTCACCAGCTGACAATGAAATATTTAGTTGCTTTTCCAATCCTACAGTGTTTCTGAAGTGCTGTTGTGTGTGTCCTAACCGGGTGTTGTACACAAATCATGAATACAAAGAAACAGGTTTCATGTCAAACCAAGGAATCACGGGTCATTATTGAGAGTGTCCAAGAATCAGTCAATCCAGTACCTCCTTTGTTTTTCAGAGGTTTGATCAACTGTGTATCTTTCTGAGAAGCCCTGAATCATTCAATTAAAGACTCAATGTGGTTTGGAACTGGTAACCTCCCTGGTAAAAGGTTAATTAACCTAAGTGGAGACTTTTACTAGAAATAATAATAATAAACTGTTTTATATAGCACCTTTGAGACTTCTCAAAGCAGTTTAGAAAAAATGTGACAAGTAGAAGAGGTAACGAACTTTAGCACAATTAAGAACAAATGTTAAGAATGCAGAAGAAAAGGCAAGGGGCAGACACAGAACTGATTAAGCAAAAGCCTCAAAAGAAGCAGCTTTTGAGTCTGGATTCGAATGTCTTCAGAGAAGGTGACTCTAATATCCTTAGGGATAGAATTCCAGAGGGGCATAGCAAGAGAAGACCCTGTCACCCATAGAATGTAAAGTGAGCTTGGGACAATCAGGAGACCAGAATTAGATGAACAAAGGTTAGGAGTAGGAAGATGACAACAATTCGGATAGGTACTGAGGTGCCAAGCCATGAAGAGCCTACTCTTATTGTCCCCCTGGGTGCACTGGTCAGTTTTCAGGTTGAGATACTGGTCCTGTTTTGTTTTCCAAACAGAGTAAGGATTTAATAGCTCCTTGGCATCTTAGGTGCGTAGTTGCTTGCATTGAGATAATGAGAATGAAAAACTATACCCTTATTAAGAAACACTGATGGTTTTCCAGGTTTTTGATCAAGATTTTAATAGATTTATACACCACATTTTACACATTTATGATCTTTGTCTCCATGCGCTCAATAACTACAGTGCTGTGCTTTGTTGTAACCAGTTCCTTAATTGTTCAATTGACTATTTGAAGGATCAGTATGATAATAAAGGATCTGAAGCAAAACTGTAAAATGAAGCATGGAAGGGCCATTTTTCAAGTGCATATTTAACATTGCTGCAAATTATTAGGAGTGAAAATTGTCTAATGATTCCTCAATGTCATTTTTTGTTGCAAATGGGCAAAAAAATTTCTTCCAATTGGTGTCGGGTTTTGTTCTGCACCATTACCTGGGAATTTTAATTTTAGAATTAAAAAACAATTTCACAAAACCGCCTTTCTAATTTGTCATATGAAACGTTATCATTAGTAGTGTAAATATGATAGCGAAACACAATAAAAAGTGGATCAAACAACAGTGGATATGGACAAATGGAAAATAAATACACAGCATAATGTACTTGTTTCTCGCATAATCATCCACAGTGCAGACCAAGGGTGAAAAGAGGTAATCCTGTCAAATCCTTCCTCTGCACATTAACACATTGGGCCACTGTGGGGCTTGAGGCTCGTCCTGGCACAGGATCTGTAGAAGCCCAAAATAATCCCTGAATTCAAGAGCCAGTCTTCTTGAATTTAAAGAGGGATTATTCGCAGTTGGAACATCTGTGGAGATTTGCATTCGAGACAAGTACAGTATGTAAAAAACAGTCTTTACAACATAATTAAAATATCGAGGTGAGAAACTGTGCAGGGATATCAGGAGGATTGCATAATAGATTACTGTGCAAGGATATTAGGAAGAATGCATAAAATATTATGGTAAAGAGGTTTTATTAAATCATTTCTACCATTCACACCATTAAACCTTTCATAAATAAATTTAAATAGTTGAAGATGGATAAAAATTTAAACAGTTGGTTCAGTAAATTGGATCAGGCTTTTTTTGTATAATAAAAAGCACACCTGATTCTAATTTGGTTTTTTTAATTAAAATATATTACATCCATGTCTAGAACAAAAACTGAATTAAATAAGGGAAAGAGCTGTACCTTATTCCATGAATGACTGGTGTAGGATGAAGGGTGAGCAAAAATTAGGCAGACATAGTACAGCTGAAAAGTTGCTCTGCATCTTAAACCTTTCAGGGTACACAATTTAAGACATTACAGATTTCCCTCAACTGGAACTGAGTGAAACTTTACCTGGAACTTTAGCACTATTATAATCTGCCAGTTGTTTTACTTGAAAAGACTATACAAATCCAAAGAACTTGATCATTTACTTTAACCTTTATAATTTCACACCATTGCTACAGGTATACTGTACATGTCTATTAAAGTACTCACAAATAAAACATTGTGTACCTCTTAACTGAAAGACCAGCGATCCCTGCAATCGCACATATCTAAAAACACCTGTAAACAACCTATTCCAGACATGTCTTCATTTGGACCACACACAAATTTACTTTGTAATCTCTGTGAAGGAAGCCAGGGGTGGATACTATACCTTTTCTGGACTTTCTGGACTACCACCCTTTGTGTAAAGAAGTGCTTCCTGTTCTCAATTTAAATGCCCTGCAGTTTCATGTGGCTTGCCTTTTTACAATTATTTTCTGAAAAAAGCAATGAGTTGACTTTTACAATACCTTTTGGGACTTGATGATCCAAGCAATTTCACAGAATTTTAAAAGTGTGGATCAAAGGATCAAATAATTTAAAAGATTGTCAGTGGACGTTAGAATTTAGGGTCTCTCGCTTTTCAAGCATGAATAAAAAGTTAAAAAAAAAACTTTTCTGACAGCTTAGGAGATGCATATCATTTCATAGAATAAAATCCAATAATATGTTTAAAGCAATTAATCAATTTAAAAATGTATATGATGATTATGGCACTTCATGGAAGCAGATGTTTCAAAGTTTGACTACTATACAGCATTGTCACAAAATACTCATCTCCCTTAACAAGGTGAGCAATATGGTCTCAAGCTATGATTATAAAAAAAACTGATCTTTAAAATAAAAAAAAGGGTAAAAGCTATACAGAACAATTCTGAGCCACATTTGTAGTTAACAGGACTGCCTGCTTTCTTAAACAGCACATGTACTGTATCTTTGATATTTTAAAACGTATTTCAAACAGAAACTAAAAATGCAGGAATATCACATCCAAGCATATGGTCATTTTTTCCCCCAGTGTGCACAATTATCTGCCAAGGGTAGCTATCATGGCTAATGGTTAGAATATCCCAAGTGAATACCCAGTCCCTTATTATATAAGCTTAAAAAAATTATCTGAATATACAGATTGCTTGGGGATTTCACCTGCATCATTCACTGCAATCCACCATTTAGACAACCATGTTAGGTGTGCTTGTGATTGTTCAAGAAATCCAACCTTAAAGAGCAAGTAGCATTATTACCCAGTGGAGGTTTTTATATAATGATATTCATACTTCATAATGTGCTGTGCAAAGGCTCAGACATATTATAACCGCTAACTCTGCATTGACAACTTCACTTGAGGGAAAGCAGGCTTGTCCTCAAGTGTTTTGAAAGCCTCTAAGAACCAAAAATATTATTTTTTAAACATAGCTTAGAATGGGGCTTTTTTAACTTATTACACCTTACAAATAACTACAGTGCTGTGCTTTGATGTAAACCAGTTCCTTAATTGTTAAAATGATTATTTGAAGGATCAGTTTGACAAAAAAAAAGGATCTGGTTATAGCAAAATTGTGAAATGGATCATGGAAGGGCCACTTCAAGTTCAGTTTGTGTCCCTTGATTTAAGGGAAATTAAATTGTATATTGATACTGTAAACTAAAACAATGTGAGAATTATCCCCCACTGCATAATTTGAAGTACGTCATGTTTTGATTAACAAAGTATGTCTAGAATTCCACAGTTACAGTACGTTTGCCACAAATGAAAAAACTTTTGATATAGAGTAGGAGTCTGTGTCTCCTAATCTTGATAGACCATGATGTTTTTTTTGCTACTTGCTACAGAAAACTTTGGTCCTCTAACAGATGAGTACAGTCCTCTATTCTTTTCAGTTGTCTTACCCATGTCTAAGCAACGGCAGTGCTGTAAGGTCAATAGTGGTTATAGCAAAATGCTAAGGCAGGCAGGTTATTGAGGAAGAGGGGAAAAAGTAAAAACATCAAACAATACAAAAATGATTTTGTTAAAGAGTTTAATCAAGCAATCATTCAAAAGCTGAAAACAACTTGGAAAGGTGATACAATTAGGGTAGGGGGCTGGTGCTATACACTATTATACATGTATTGCAAGCATTGCTGAAACACGAGGCACAGCTGAAAATGGCTCGATGGGCTCACTGACTTCCTCCATGCTTTCCCTCTGCTTCACAACATACCTCCAGAAATCATTGGAACTTTGACGGGATGAAAATGAATATAAATTCTCGGACATTGAAATTTCCCTTGGCTAATCAAAGCTACTGTAATTACAGTTTATGTCAACAGATGCCTGTTTCTTTCAAGAAATGAACAGGTTGTTAACTACTGTATTCATGATATGCAGTCATTTATGCACTGTTGTTTGTTGACAGAGCTTCACACACCAAATCTTTTCAATGCAAAATACTGGGATCCGCACTGATTACCACTAAGAAATGTGGGAAAATACAGTCTATACACAGTATATTTTAAAATATTTCCTCAACACATGGCATTAACTGCAGCTTGTGTAAAACACGCAAAAAAAAAGCCATCAAAATCAAATTCCTTACAGTTAGAGGCAGATGAAGAAGAATTCTGCAATACAGAAACACAGAACTGAAAATCAGCATATTTTTGGACATTCATATGTTGTTTCATTATGTTGGAAGACACTTCTGGAGTCTTCCTTATACACGTTTAGCACTTTTGGAGTCTGAAAGCCATGTGTTGAGAAAATGTACCTGATAAAAAAAAATCATTTGTATCCGCCTCTGTGAAATTGTCAACATCACAGACAAAAGCATTTTACACTGACAAAAGGAGGTGTGGAAATTCACTCTGTCCATGACTGCTGTTCCTGAGCTCAGAGGTAGGGTGTAGTGTGCAAACTCTTTAGTGGTTCTGCTGGAGTTGCTTAAAACTCCAGTTAATTGCAGATATACCCACCTAAGAGGAAAACCTAATCTTAATTCATAAAGAGACATTACAATTCAAATCCCAGATGGAATGACTATCGCTACCAGTAACAGTCACTCAAGAGTTATTCTGAAGTGCTAAAATTCACCCCAGTTGTCCCGTTATAAGATTGCTAAAGCCACCCTGCATTTTAAATTTGTAAAGGTGTTACGGCACATTTCCCTTTGAAAAATGGTTTCAATTAATGAAACAGCTCTTAGGTTTTAGTACCGTTTTCCCTTTATCAACCAATTAGTGATCCCAAATGAAACTAAATATTAAACTTGGTGACCATTTCTTTCTACCAGCATGATGAAAGAGTACATTTTTAAATATTTGTTGTATTTGTTTTTCTGTAAAACATGATCTTAAATATCCCTCTCAGTCCTGTGGTTTCCATTAAAGCTGTTTTGCCAGATACTGTAAACCATGTACTCTAACCTCAAGTTCGAGCCCAGTTTAAAATTCAATATATACAGTACATACATAATTCTTTCCCCCGATATATACATATATCCACTAAATAAGCATGGGGACCGATGTTAATGAATACAAAGAATAAGAAACAAGGAAGTGAAAATTAATATTTTCCATCAAAACTAAAGGGGAAACCTTTTTACACTTGTCTTGATTATGAATTATGAAGTAATTCTCCAACCTTTTTGTATAATGAAACAAAGTAAGAAGAATCATTGGTTCCAAGAAGCTTCATGAAGCTGATTTATGACAATTTTTTTGTGATCTCTTTTAATAACTGATGGTTATTTGCTCACAAGTGTTTACACACTATTTGGTTTTAGAGAAATAGGAGCGTCTGGGGAGAAATAAACGTCTTCACATTGCTGTAGATAAAATCTAAACATGAATGCCACTTTTCAAACTTAATTCCTCATTCTACACCATGTAAGGAAGGATGAAACAGTTTATTTTTGCAGTCTTCTCATTAGGGGTATCCTATTTCCTTCACTTTAAGATGGTGCTGTTGGTTTTCATGTTTTGAAGATTGTGTTGTTAGAATTTTAACTTCCAAAACCTCCTAATTATCCAACAAAACTCAACTTTACCAACTTTTTTCTGAACAGCTACAAAGCAAGCACTTGGTATCACAAAAATAGTAGCCCAAATACATAAACTCAAAATTTTAAATTTAAAAAAGAGCTATCATACAGTAGGTATGCAAGAATAACAGTAGTTGCATGAGTTCCATTTTTAAATGCTGTGTATTGGTTTATCGTACAAATACGCTCATTGGGCGCAGGGAAAACCAGCAACATTTCTGCATAATAGAACTGCATTTTATTAATTCAGCTTTACAGAAGAAGGAACATTTTCACTTTCAAAAAGTTGAAAGACGAACGCAACTTTAACCTCAGCCAAATTAATGGGCATTTCAAACCAATGTTTATTAAAAAAAACAATCTAATGAACTACTATAAACGTTTAATCACCTCCTTGATTATGAGAATCTAGTTAATAAAGTTTTTATTTGGCTGACATTTAAAATCCATAGTGAAGTTTTCTAAACATTCTGCGACATACCATAAATGCATTTTGGGAACAATTTCAGTTCAGTAACTATTTATAAACTACAGCTCTGGATGTTTGCATGAAGTCCTTTTTCCACTGTGAAGTGTAATTTGGGGTCTCTTGACTTTCACTTCTTGCCTTTTTGTCCGCAAGCTTTGTAACAGATGTTATATGACACCTGAGAAATATTAACTGTAGCAACATTTTTTGGTATGTGGATCTAACAAGTTTATAGTGATTCTGCCCAGCAGAAGAAAAGGCACCAGTTCAGGTGTTGCAAGGCAATTTGTTCAAAAATAGTCACCTACGCCAATTTCAAACACCCCTCCCACTTGTCAATAAGCTATCAGTTTAACATTTTTTTTTCTATTAAAACAAGCATGATAAATACAAAACAAAATCCTTTAGGTGTTCATACTGTTACCACGTAGGTCAGAAACACTGAAAATGTTTTCTGTAATACTAGAACAAGAGCTTTTCCCTTACAATAAAATAATCAGTTGAATGCCGTTCAAAAGAGATGGAAATCAGTCATTTCAGCATAGTAGGAAAAATTCCTAATCAGGACAGCTGCTAAATTTAGAGAGGTTAAAATACTGAAATGTCAAAAATTTAATGGAGATATAAAGAAAAAAATACTGAATTCATATGCATCTTTATGCTAAAGATTTTCTTAGAAAATTAAGTATAAAAATGTTCATTTTAATGCCCCCAACTGAACCTTACATCTGGCTGAGTGGAATGAGCAAGCTGTCAGATCTCTTATTCTAACAGCAGCCAATCTGCAAGTCACCAATGACAAGCACTCATTTTGATCTCCCTGCTACGACCTCGCTGCTCATCGTACCGATGGCTGCCCTCACTCCTCAGGCAACTTGTTTGTGTTCAAAGTGGCAGATGATTCATCATAGGAATAAGGACATGTGGATTGCATATGCACTAGAGAAAGCCCTGAAACAGCACAGCTCCTCCAATACTCTGACAAGGAATACACAGAAATGAAAAAAAGGGTGTCAATTTTTCAGGAGGTGGACAATAAATACCTCAATTATTTGCCATTCATATGGTATGCCTTTGGTGGGATGCCAGATTGTATTTATTGAATAAATTGGGAAGCTTTTAGTAGTGGCACAAAGATCCTTTGGGAATAGAAACAAAGCAGAGAACTTAAACTGCTTTTACCAAAAAGTAATGGGACGTTGTGGCAAATCTATGCAATTCACACCCTCTTAAGTCTCAGCAAGATTTAAGAAACTGGGGGATTAACATTCCAAATGAGCTCTCACTTTTCAGATCCATTACATTCTGGTATCACGGTATCATTTTTTCAAAATACATAATTTTAGAGTGGAACTATCTACAGCAGAAGTATGTCACATACATTTGTATAACCAAAGATAAAGATTAAATAAGTGACAGCTGGAAAAAGCAGCTATTATCATCATCTCTGTGGCAATAATGCTGCATGCAAAACTATCCCTATTTCCCCACTGTCAGTCTTTTTATACTGCAGTCTACGATAAATCACAGAGCTTGAAGTACAATAAGAAATACTTTTCATTTTACATTGCAGAGTTCTTCTGCACAACCTTTGTGGAAATACACAGCACAGAGACCAGAAAACTGTACAGCACATGCTACACGTACCATAAATTTGGCAAATGTTCAAAAATTTTGAATGGCTTCAGTTATTTTTACCACGGCCAAGAAAATAAAACAAAAATGGTAAAAAAAAAGCAGCTGAAAATCTACTTAAAATACAGAAAGCCTCCAGTTCATAAACAAACATGACCAGATTAATCCCAACTGAAAATGTACAACTATATGACAGTTTGAAGACTTGAAAAAGCATCAAAAATTTCTTGACACTGCTCAGAGAAAATTTCCCAAAACCAGGTTAAATTTTGTTTAATGGTTTTTAGACTTTTCTCATTGTGTTCTAAATGCTATTACCTCATTGCCATAACACAAATTGTGTTACAACCTCTTCAAGAAGTGCAGGCAAGAGTAACTTCTTATGCTACTCAAGTCCTCAAACCACACCCTAACTGTCTGGTCCAGTGGCCATACTTACATTATATACAGTATATATGGATTTGTTTCTCTACTTAAAAAATTGCCGATATTGTATGCTTAGATGCATATTTCAAACAAAAATAAACTCAACAATTAAGAGCAAATCACAAAAACATTTTACCAAAGTGGAACCTTTTCTGTACACCAGTTACCGAACAGTAAAAAAATGCATTTTGTCTCTACAGAAAAATTCCTCATCGCTCACCTTTCCCTTCCTGCTCCCCTCTTTTTCCCCTCCAAAGAATCTGCCCAGCTGGTCCAGCAGACCAGTGTCCCTTTGCCGCCTAGAGCCGTGTCTAGCTTGATCCGAGGTGCTTGCAGTTGCCATATTTGAGATGTTCTGTGGCCCTGAGGGAACTTAGTCTGCCTCTTGTTCAGTACAATCCGAGCACTCGGAACCTGTCCCACCGTTTTCCTGGATGGTCTGAAGCTCGTCGGACTCGGAAGGGCGATCTTTGAAGGTGTTGTCCTCGCGGCCCGGGGCATCTCGGGAAAAGAGGCGGACCAGGTGGGGGCGGCCGGCGGTGGGGTCAGCTGTGCTGGCGTCGTTCCAGGCATTCTTCTGGCCCTCTGCACCCTTGGAGTCTGTCACCGCTGTGCTCTCAGAGGAGCTCCCATTGTTCTGGTTCACATCTGCCTGTACATGGCCTGCGAACAACAAGGGTTATCTATGAACTGGGGCCTGTGAAAAACAGCCCCGAGGACAATGAGGGCCTTTTCTTACTTAAAAAAGAAACACCAAGCCTCAAAACCTCCAAGTTACAGAAATAACATGCAACTTGGATAATTTACACAAAATGGCAGGTTTAGCAAGAATTCCTCAACTATTAAAGGAAAACAGATCTCGAATATAGCCACCCAGAGCACCTTACCATGACTTTTACATTGCAATGACCACTTGATTAAAAAAATTCCTCACCTCCATGATGCATTTGTTTTTTATTCATCACACAAATGAAAAAAAAAACAGAAAAAATTATGAAGTGGGTTTTGAAATGGTATTGCAACAGACTTCGAGCCTCGAGTCGACTTTTAAAAAGGAGGTTTTCAGAGATACTCATAGTTATGTTGGTAAAGAAAAAAAATTAGTCTGCGATCATATTTAAGATCATATCTAAAGATGTGCAAGTTTGGTTCCAATTCACAGGACAGCAAACTGTGGCCAATGAACAATGCAGATACTGTACAGAGCTAAATGGTGAAACAAAATACCAGGGCATTGGAATACTAATAATTTCTTAACAGTTGGCCTTTGTTTTTCTGCATAGCTATTTATTGGGAACAAAGGAGTCTGTGTCATATAAGTATGGATTTTAAAGCTAATGGAAAGGCAGCATTAATCTCAGTTCAGGGTTCTTGCTTCATGGGTGTGGCACCACAAAGATATCCTCAAAGTACTGATGCAATCTGCAGTTGCACAGTTGAGAAGTGACTTAAGCATCTGTGTATGCAACCAAATCGACATCTTTAAATCCATATAACTGTGACCTTGCAAAAGATGTTTTCCTTATATATAATATAAAGTATAAACCTCTAAATGGTAAATGAAGGAACTGTTAGCTTTGTACATAAAGTCTGAATGAGTCTCTTATTGATCAGTAGATTGAACACGTACAGATTTAACAAACTCCAGAATACATGGCAGGCTGACACAAATAAAAATGGAACCTAAATTATTGACCTGTGAGATTGAAATGGACCTGAAAAGAAATTAAAGCACAGCACATTGGCATAAAACTAAACAGACTGATACTGCAGTGTTTTTTAGGCCGTGTTTGATTGCAGTGATACATCTCTGGAGAAAGTGGTACTGTTGCTGGGAAAAGGAGAAGCAAAGGACTCCTCAATAAATGCAGCATTTTTTATCTGAGCTTTACAAACCTCTGAGTAACAGAAGTGCCATTTTTTTTCTATACTGCACCTTAACAGAGAGAGAGAAATGAAAGATCAGATACACAAGGGGCCACACAGACACAGATGAGTGGCTCGACAATCTCATATCGTCTTGGGTAGAGGAAACGATGCGAGGGGGGCATCTACAAGAAACAACACCTGACCAGCCCTGAAAAGTGCTGCTGTCATATTGCCTCCCTAAAGTACACACTCCCAGCACTCAACCAATTACGAAAACTGCCTTTAATATGGTGCTTTAATATGCGGCATGAAAATTATGTAAAAGATACAGCAATCAAGGAGTTCTGATGTAGTCATGATTTAAATTTGAAACACAGATTACTTTTTAACCCAATTTCTTGGACATTGGACACAAGAAGCCTTTGTAAGACTGTAAGACTTTTCATCAATCTTCCTGTGTCAGTCCACTGTTTTCCGAATCACAGGTCACTTTTGCTCTTCAAGAGCACAACGATTCTTCTTGCATGGAATTAATATGCTTTTCACTGTTTAACGCTCATTGTTTCCCAGATAGGGAAGTTAATTTTTTAATTTTGTTGTGTACTTTTTAAATTTGGATTTGAGTAGTTGCTTTTTCTTTGTAGTTTATGGCTGTAAAATCCATACAGAGCACCCCTGCGAGTGCACACTCTGGAAAAGATGGTGTCCTTATTCAAGTAGTGCTCCTGATTGGCTGTACACATAGAACAGGAGTCACAGCTGTGAGCTAACATAAAATTCAAATTGAACTTGGAAGAGTTATGGGTTTAAAACTGGTGGCTGACTCAAAGAGTACTAGGTATGGTTTTACTCCAGCAGAATAATTTTAGTTACAATTATTAGAACCAATGCTGTTTCATTCCAGTACTTCATTTCAGACAATATACTGATCAGCTTTTATCAGGTACAAAGATTTCTAAGTACTGTACAACTTACAGAATCTGGAATCTGGAAGCCCTGCATTCTAAAATGATCTTTATGATGCTGAACATAGTGTATTCATTACAAGATTAGGACATTCTCCTTCAATCTAACTTTCATGTTTTCATTAGACTACCCTTTGGGAGACGTGTCTGACTTGACTATCTTTAGACTAGGAGAAAAGCAAAGGCCCGAGGGAAAGAAGGAATTATAAAATTGGGGTGCATATGCTTTTACCTTAAATGAAAAAGTGAGAAAAACTTTCACAGTCCTTTAAAGGGAGTCCAGTGTCAGACCCAGTAAAGACAGATGTGGGTCCTTTCTTTAAACACTAGATGTAGGAGTCAGGGAATTTACATTACAGTATATGACAAGCAGATGGGAGTTTCATTTGGCAATGAACAGCAAAAAAAAGCATTACTTGAAAACCATTGAGAAGCTTACATCTAATGAACCAACTGCCAAAGATTAATCCATTGCTGTTAACATTTGCTAAATACTCTAAGATGAAGAGATAATGGGCTGGTCATATTATTCTTTGAAAACTGTACACAAGAACAAATTGAAACTCTCACATTGGAAATTAATCATCACATAGAGGACTTAGGCCTATATATTGATTACTATTATAAAAAACAAAATTGACTGCTTGGTTGTACCATACAGTACTTTTATAATTCACAGCTGTAAAATTTTCTGTGTTAAAGAGGTTTGTGGAGGAAATAATTTGGATAATTTGATACCTACCTGATTTCAAGGACTGAGATCAAAGTTACCCGGGCTTGAAAGGCTGCACATGTTTTAGACAGACTTTGCAGTGTGAGAAGTGATAAGAAACATTTCAGGTCAGTACCCACTCATCTCACTGATTATTATCTGTCTGCTTGGGGGTTTGGTGCCTTATAAGGTACTCTTACTTCTACACACAAGATAGCATCTTTAACAATTACTCAGACACTGCCACACTGCTTATTCTTTTTAATGTTTTATGCAGATTTTAAAATGACGCAAGAGACTCCTGCTTGGTTAATCTCTATGCAAATTAAGATACCATCTAAAATCATCTCTTTACACAAAAGGTTTCTCAGAATAGAAAGTAGATAGCAGGTAAGAGGACAGGACAGGCTTTTAATGCTGTTTGCTCACTTTTCAGTTCTGTGGACATGGCACTTTCAAGGAAAAAGTCTTTTTTGTGCAGAGAATTATTTGGCTTCCCCATGCCCAGCCAAGCGGGAGAAGTGAAGTGGAGACAGAATCTATTTTGCCTTCCGTTTCTTCTATTTTAAGAATACTGAACCAAGGTTGAAAATGGAGGGTCAAGAGCTTTTAATGAAACTCTTGCTCAGTATTTCTCATTGCAGCGCTTTGAGGGGAAAACACAGAAAACACACTACCAGATTGTGAATTAATCACCACATTGGACAAGACATCTCCTTTGAGCAGGAGAAACCAGGAAACAATGGCACACTATGGTAGACAAACACCATTGGGGTTCAATTTACAACATACCTCTCTTTAAAATGCTATTAAAATCACAGTCTTCAGCTTATCAAACCCGTGCATTACCCTTTGAGTATGACTATTCAGCATAATTCCCCATAATGATATACTGTAGATTAGTTGTAAAAGCAGTTTGCCGTGTTTCCACAATCTGCAGAGTCTTAGTGGTTTTAATTTAGTCAACCTGAGTTACATAGACTGACAGAACTAACCAAAAGGCAATTATAAAGTGAGAAGAAAAACTCCTTTTGTCAAACAAATTAGAAAAAAACAGTTTGGTTATTAAGCAGGCTTTCATCTTCCAGTCATCCTAAAACAAATCCAGAAAGTGACATATTTCATCCTCTTCGTTTTCTTAATACAAAAGACTGGACCTTAAATTGTAGCTCTCTGGGATTTTTTCCAGTTTACTCAAGGTGTGCTGAAAAATAAAGGGTAAGCAATGCTCAAGACATCTCTGATCCAAGGAGCTACTGGATCTCTGGCCAAGCGTTTTGAGCACCACCGAGGAGGCCCAAGAACACTCACTCATTGTAGTGGGTAACCATCAAATATTTTACTTTCTGGGTGGTAGAACCCTGTTAATTACACATTTGCAATTCTTGCTTGGTGGTACTTGTTCCGTTTGAAGGCAACATCAATATCATGTCACAGCCTCAAAACCGAAGTCCTCAAATATTTGGTTGCACTTGCAGCCTCTTTTGACATTACCTGAAGCCTCGAGAAGCATCTACTCTTTCCTTGTAAAAGACAGTGGAGCTAATTCTGGGTAGAAATTCAGATTCAAACTCTCCGACACCTTCCATCAAGCCTGCTTCAGACCACTAGGCATTTTCACCAAGAGTAACTGCCACCTGACTTGAGCCAGACTAATAAGCCACACACTAAAGAGGGACACACGCACATGGCAAAATCTAGCATTCAAAACTTGTAAGGGTGATGAAACTCTAGCAGAAAACCTCTAGATGACCTTTATCTTTTTCTTGAGCTGCCGAGTCTAACAGCGGCTTGACAGATTGAGAACACCATTCTGGAAAGCAGCATGTAGTAAAAGATGTGCATTTGTCCATGAGGTCATGCACTAAAAAAAGGCATCTGCTGGTTTGCATGAGAGGAGGTGCGTAGCACCCACAGCCCCAGCAGAAAGACATGGAATGTACAGAGTGGGCCAGTTGTATTGCATGACCTTCTTGTTTGTGAAAGATGTTTGGCATTGCGGCTCTAATTTGAGGGTCGAAAGAGCTTTGAAGGGAAACAATAAAAGCCATGGACAGCACTGGTGGGTCTAAATATGGGAGAAATTCTAAAGCCATGAGAAATATGTGGCCCAATGC